TTTAAACCATAGTTCCCCCCGGTCTAATATGACTGTTGGGTATAGAGTTGACAACAGTACCCTGAACCATCTCCTGTCTAGAAATCTGCCAATAGGCAGACGGTCTTGGACCACCATGGGCACCAGGGAGTAAGTTAGTTGCTTATAAAATTGTGTAATCCGTTAATACTGTGTAACTCCTGCCTTGAGTGCTAAAAATTGTTTTTGCACTTCATTCCATCCTGCACCCCTATTTCCATATATTTAATCAAGAATACATATGCAAATTTCTCAAATAAAATATGAAACATTACTTAATAATGATGTAAAAATATTTAAATTAAATATGTATTTGTCGATTATTTAATACATAAGTAATAATAATTTTTGAATGAAATATTGGTAATAACAAAATAATTTGTATAAATCATTTAATAACGAGAAGGGAGCTGTAAAATGGTAAAAATTTTAATAAGTTGAACAAAATGAAAGAAATGAAGGTATGAAAAAAATATTTTAATTAGATAAATGTTGATTACAATTTTAATTTTGCGAGCATCTCTTAAGACAACAATAGATTTTTCAGTATTATAAAACTATGTAATGAGGCAAATTAAAAAAAAAATAATGGTTTTTGTTTGTCCATTAACTTAAATTAAAAGGACCTCACAAAATTAATATACGTAAAAGTAGTATTTTATTTAATTCGCAGCGATTGTTTTAATAAGATTTCATTTTTAATCCTTTTATAATTTCAAATATATGATTAGTTAAGAGTTATAAATATAAATAAAATACATAAATCTATTCATTTTATTTTTATTTACTTACTCAGCTTAACATTTCGTTGACATAATAAATAGAATTCGTGAGCCCGACTTGTGGCTCAGTGGTAACGTGCGCCACTGGTGAAGGCTGAGAGCTGAGGTTCAATCCGTTGGACGCATTATTGTAGACACTTGTTTCAAAAACGAAGAGTAAACGTTTGTAAAGTTCAGCATCTTTCCTCGTTAGTCAGACTACCGGGTGGGAGTTTTCCGAGTTTTCTCCCATATGATACCCAAATGCGGGGTAGTTCTTCCGGAAGGCACTGCCCTCCTTCTTCAGTGACTCGCAGCCAAGTCAGACTTGTACCTACGAGTGCTCCATCACAACAGAAGCTACCCCCTCTCCTTCCATGAGTAGACTACTCATGGAGTGCCCGTTCCGCGCTGCCGGACACTGAGAATTAGTCATAACATCAATAAAAAGTCATGTAGCTTAAAAAATTCATACAAATCAGGTACCTTAACAATAGGTACCTTAAATATATATATATTATATACATTGGGAAAAAAAAATATATAATATAAAATCTTTAAGATGAATATACACAAATGCCAATTCTTACGGATTTTTCGAAGATGGAAAATAACATACATTTTTTATTAATTGCAGCGGCAACAACAACACAAAAAAAAAAAAAACCCGAAAAAGAAAACTTTTACGTAATGTTAAAAAAAAAAACTTTTTTTTTTTTTTTTTTTTTTTCTCCTATCGTTGCTAATTAAAACTTTTTTTTTTTTTTTTTTTTTTGCTGTTAACAAACTTAAGTAGTAAGAAAAATTATACTTAAGTAGTAAGAAAAATTATAGAATTTTACTAAAATTGTTTTGTACCTCCGAAAATTAGTTCAACAATATTTAATTAAAATTATTCTTGATTTAATTTTTGATATGTCTTTGAAATATGTTTAAAATAAAATGTTTCTCAGTATTTTAAATAAAGTAAAATGTTTCTCAAAATTTTGTTTTATTCTGTAGTAGGCAATTATTCTTTTTTGCATTGCAATATCTTAAATTAAAATTTCAATTTCGAACCATAAGCACTTTTATTTATTGAACGAATGCCAAAAATTACTTTATCATTGATAATTAATTCAATATAGCATCTATTATTTTATTGAATATTTATAATTTTATAAAAATCAAATTCTGTTTCATTTTTTTAAATCTTTGTGTAAAATTATTTAATATTACATTTTAAATGTTTTGTATTTGTAGTAAAATTAGTGCCTGAATATTTTCCTTAATTAAGAATTTCATTAATTTTTTATGGGATTTATACACACCTATACGAAGAATGGGAAAGAAATTATTAGTAAGTAAAATGTGCTGCCATCTATGAATGACAACTGTAGTGAAACTAAAATAGGTTAAAATAAATGTTGATGAAGTTTTTAATTAACTGAAGTTTTGGAATATTAAATTAATATTTATATATATATATAAACATTATATATATTTTTATATATAGTATATTAATATTTTTTATGCGTAATTCCCCGCGCCCCTCCTCTTTTTTAGAGATTCAGTTGTTTTATTAAAATATTTCATTTTAAGAACTATATTTATCATATAAAAAAAACGGACTTGTAAGTGTTATAGTTTTTAAGTTTTGAGAAATTCAGTTTGAACATACAAATAGACAAACAAATCTCTTACTTTATGTGCATAGAGATCGTAATTTTTAAAAATATATCCTTTCTCATTTTTTTTGTTTATTAAACAATGGTATTATTCATGTCGCTGTGTATATGTGCTTTAATGAAGCAAATATGAAGAATTATTTAACACATTTTTTAACGACGTATTGTAACCATGTTACTCCTTCACACTGGCAAGAGGGCCTGTGGCGTTCGGGAGAAATGGTCAGTCGGCCTCGAGATTCTCACCTAATAGGAAGGTCAGCGAAACACTGAGACATGTTTAGTTTATAGTCTCTCTTCCCAAGAGGAAATATATTTAGCGCATTAGTTGATCTACCGACTCTCGCCCGAAGAGGAAGTATACATTAGAAATGCGAGTCCTTCCACGATTCTATAATATCTGTCTTTAAATGTGTTAAATATTGTATGTCTCTAATTTTATGTGTGTGTGTGTCAATAAAGCTGTCTGTTCTCTAACCTGTGCCCCAAGTATCTCAATCCAACTACATCCAGTTACAGTCCGGTTGTCCAACCTGCACACTACAGAATGTTTGTTTGTTTTTTCCCCTCCAAAATTTAAAATATAAGTTAAAAGTGTTATTTTGTTTATTGATTTATATCACATGATATCAAATAGCAAATTTATATATGATATTGTTATTTAATAATTTGCATTACTAAGAAACGTATTTTAAAATTCTGCGATTGTAATGTATGGTTATGTCATCAAACTTTTGTGAGGTATTGGATTTAGTGTTTGTATATCAATGTATAAATTTATTTAATTATAAAAAGAGTAGGGAATTGCGTATTTGAAATAATGTATCAGAGGCGTTATAATTTGGTGTATTACACTGTTCTTTTAAATTTATTGTTAGTGAATTAAAAAAAACTATCCCACACTAATTTCATATTTTTTTTTTTTTTTTTTTTAATTTAGATTGAAAAGTTCATTTTTATTCCAAGCTGCTCTGTCTATTGCAAAAGAAGGGGATCAGGTTTTTTTTATTTGTCCCACACCATTAGAGAATCGGCCATACCATGTATTAGATCTGCCAGAACCTTCCCATCTAGTGCTTCAGTGTATCAAAATGATGTAAGTTAACATTCATAAAAATAAACAGTTACAATGAAGAAAATCAGAATGCATATTAAATAAAATGCAAAAAATAGTGTTTAGTTTTTAATTCTGAGATGTTTAACTCTAAATAGTAAAAAATATATATATATATATATAATCTGAGGATTGTTTTAAAGTATGAAAATATTGATGCATTAATTATTTCAATTTTTTGTTTGCAGTTGATTTTAATTCATTAAATATTTTAAAAAAATTTTGTTAATTTTTATGGTTGGTTTTTGAAATTATCTCATTTATATTCTGCAATTCTCTATTTGTACAAAATGCAATAGAAACTACTTCTTTTTATATTATGGTCCAATTTAAAATTGTATTATTATTACTGGCTATTTCTGTTATTGTCCTTATCAAAAAGGCTCTAATTAAATTTTTTTTTAATCTCGTGAACTTGAATTTATTATAAAAAATAAACAAAAAGAATAGTAAATAAAGCCATCTCTGTAAAATAGCATCATTCGAATAAATGTATAGATTTTACACTAACAAACATTAATTTGAAAAAAAAATTCTAACTGTAACATTTAAAATACCAACACAAATTTTGATGGATTATCAAGTTTCCTTGACTTTACAGATATTTCTCCTATTCGCATAGTAGTGTATTATTCCATCGCAAAAAATATTCAGACTCAATTTAGACATGCAAAGATGAATTTTATTGACGTATTTACTATTTTTTTAGGTCAGTAATAAGAAAAGGGTTGAATTACGAATTTAAAAATTATCATAAAAAAAGTAAAAGTAAAAAAAATGTCATATAAAAGTAAGCAAATGTAACAAATTAAAAAAATTGACAAAATTTGTTCAAACAAAATTCTCTGAAATTAAAGGCTTTGTAAGAAATAGAACCTTATCTAATTAGTATATTTGTTAACGAGTATTTTTTAATTTTTCTTTTTTTCGTAAAAATATAATTAAATCGTTGTTTTTGATCGTTTAGATATATTGAAAAACCATCCGATTTACTGCAATACCTTTGTGAATTTCACACCAAAGAAACTTTTCCTGCTGCTATTATGATTGACGATATTCAATATTATGTGTCCCATCTTGATCAGGTAATAAACCTAAAGAATTTTCTCTGGTGAATTTGGGCATAAATAACGTAATCTCATGCTGTTGTTGTTTGTTGTTTCTTATCCCACTTGGCTGGCCAAGCCCACGAGCCCATACGTACTCATGATTGAAGGGGAAGGAAGCAGCTTCTGTTGTGATGGAGCACCCTTAGGTAGAAGTCTGACTTTGGCTCCGTGACGCTCTTACAGTCATAGGAGACTGGGACCTACGTCTTAAAGTGGATTCCGAACCACTACAAACATCCATGGCACCGCCGGGATTCGAACCCGAAACCTGTGGCACCGAGCGCCAGAGCGCTAGACACTCGGCCATTCAGGTCCCAAATTTGTGAATGCCAACGGCACGCGGTGTTCCCAGGTGGTCACCCACCCAAGTACTGACCGCGCCCAATGATGCTTGACTTCGGTGATCTAACGAGAACCGGTATATTCAGCATGGTATGCCGTTGGCTATTATGGTCATGGTACACATACTATAATCATAAATAATGTAGATTAACCAATAAATGTGGGGTGACATTTTTCTTTCATTCATGTAGGGTGACATTCTTGCAATCGATTTATATTCTGTGTTCATAAGAACAAAAGTAACATTTGAATGACCATATCAAAATGAATGTGAACAGTAAAATACGTAGAAATAAATATTCGTAGACTCCTGTTCAGGATCATTAGATTTTCATATAGGCTCAATTAATATTACTTTTAATATTGCAAATTATGGAGTAATATCCTCAAAGAGAGACGAATATTAAGACTGAATATTACATATTATTGTAAGGGATATATGACATACACTCAAGAGCCAAAACATTATGACCACCTGTCAATAACAAGTTGGCCATATATATATATATTATATATATATATATAATATTTGCTATATATATCCAGCAGCAGTTAAATACCACTTCCACCTGATCACGTGCCTTCCACGTCATCCAGGCGAGTTCATTGCAAAATGTAGGGGTGGTCATAATGTTTTGGCTCTTGAGTGTATATATTCTGTCATATATCCCTTTTATGAGAAATATATCATGTAATATATTATGACATATTTCTCACAGATAAAAAAAATTAAGTCAATTAGAAAATAACTTTCAATTATAAAATTTACCAAAAATATAATCCTGACTCGTGGATCAGTGGCAACGTACACCGCTGGTGAGTATTAGGGCTGAGGTTCAATCCCCTGGCGACTTTGTTGTAGACACTGTTTCAAAAAACGACGAGATTCGATGATATTGGCTGTGTTCAGCATCTTGCCTGGTGAGAGTTTTCCGGGTTTCTATCATATGATACGCGGGATAGTTCCCCCTAAAAATCCTTCCGGAAGGCATTGTCTTCCTTTTTTAGCGACGCGGAACCAAGTCAGATTTCTACCTATGGGTAGAAATCTGACTTAGAACAACATCACAACAGAAGCTGCACCCTTCCACTCCATCCATGAGTAGATTACTCATGAGGTTTTGCTCATTACATTGAGCTTTAGACACAACAACAACCAAAAAAAGGTATAGAAAATTAAAATGATAAATTTTACTTTGATCTCTGTATAAGCCCTTTAAAATTTTTTCTCATTTGCTGAAAGGACTATGTATTTGCATCATTTTATGATATTTTCTATTTTGAAAAAAATCTAGGTATGGGGGAGGGAGGGGGAACCTTGCTAATTTATTTTATTAACTATCCGTATATTTCTTTCCTACTCATGTAAATAAAACATTTCCTTAAAATATTAGTATATTTTGTATTGAATCCCATTTATCATTCGACTTATTTGTAGTTTATATGTTTCCACAATGCTTTACAGGACGGTAATAAAGAGGCGTCTTTGGTGAAGTTATTTGCTATTTTGGAAGATACAGTTGTGTTTATTAGTAACAAAAAGTGAGTAGCTTAATTTTTTTTTCCGTCTAATTTCGTATTCTTTAGTTAAACTTTTCTCTGCTTTCTATGTGAGTAATAAAATGTATATGCTGCAACATAAAAACGTAAAATTTTCTAAATGATAAATTAACATGAAAAGTTGCGGTTTTTTAATTTCAAAATTAATTCAACTGTTAAGTTATAGTGAATATCATTGCTTTGCATTTGATGTGCGATGGGTGATTTAATAATATGATAATTATACTTTACCAACGTGTCTTATTTTAAAATCTTTGTTAAATAAAAATCGTTGTGAACATTAATCAATTTTAGAGCTCGAGTAATTTAATTGCCCATTTGCTAAATTTTTTTTTCATCTAGTTCTAAGATTACTTTTAATATAAATAATGTTTACGAATAAACTATATTTCTGTTCTTACTCAATTCTTTAAAAAATGAAGGAATTATTACTTTTCAAACCTGAAGCCTATGGTACGACATTGGCCTCAGGCAGTATTTTTTTCTTAAAGTGATGGATGGAGTGTGTGATAAATTGGCAACTGCACACATTATGTAGTTTTTCTGTGAAACAACTAGTTAATAAATGATGGCCAGTTAGACTGTAAAATAAAAACACAATGAAATAATTTTTTTTTACATAAAAGGTTATTAAAATGTTTCTTAAAATTACTTGGAACATTATTTTTAAAACAAGCAGTGGTATTGGTACTTTGTGTTGTAACAACCGCCCAGGACAATTTCTCTATATTGAACACTTAGTCGTAATCCGTTTTTATTTATGATTAACGATGCTGAACTGGGATTAACGAATGCAACCGTTTTATGCGTCAATTTTTGTTCTTAATTGAAAAAATTCCTCCTCTTTCTATTTTTAAGGAGCCTGATGGCCTAGTGGCTACAAGTTTCGGGTTTGAGTTCCGGATTGGATGGTTGGAGTAGTTCGGAACCTATATATTAATATCTTAAAACTGTAGGTCTTCTGTATGATTCTATTTCCTAAAACTGTCTTCTAAATGATAGGCAGATAGCAACAATTTGCAACAAAAATTACGTTTTTACGCTTGTTGTCATCTATAACGTTAAGTCTGTTATCCAAATCATATTTTTGCTTGATGCTTTAAAGGGAAGCAGGTTCGGTATTCTATGAAACAACTAGTGTTTTCCAAACTTATTTGTCCTACCGCCCTCTTTTAAGGAAAAAAATTACTCAGCGTCCGGCTAATAGTCTACCTTCTTTGAGCAAACAAACAAATATATGGTAGAAAATTTGTGTTCTTTTACATCTGCATCTTTAAAGATAGTAATTAAAAATGTTATAAACAAGCAACCTAAGAAGATTGAATTTATAAAATTATTAAAATCAGCCACTTGTATTTTTCTTCATTGGCACAACAGCTCCCTGTTAGGCCAAGGCCGTCTGCCTACTGGCAGATTTCGAGACGGGAGATGTTTTTCTTTTTACGGAATAAGGTTGTCAGCTCTACACCTAACGCTCTATAGTTATAATACATCGAAGCCTACATTTTAAAGTGGATTCCGAACTACTCCGAGTGGCTGGCGCTCGGTATCACAGGTTTCAGGTTCGAGTCCCGGCGGTTCTATGGATGTTTGTAGTGATTCGGAATCCATTTTAAGCCGTAGGTCCTTGTCTCATATGACTGTAGAGCGTCACGGAGCCAAGTCAAACTTCTACCTACGGGTGCTCCATCGCAACAGAAGCTGCCCCCTTTTTTCCTCCTCCCCTTGAATTCATACGGGTTCGTGGGCCTGATCTAGATGTCTACCAAGTACGATAAGAAACAACATCCATGGCACCGCAGGCACTCGAATCCAAAACCTGTGGCATCGAGCGTCATTTTTCTGCCATCAGGTCCCAGCCACTTCTGTTACACACAGAAGATAAAGGACAATATAAAAAGGAAATATGAATAATATTAAAATTTATTGTAATGGGAAGTTTGAAACTGGTGCTCTCCTATCAATGAATTGATACTCGGCTCTATATTTGTCAAAAGTATTAAGTAGTAATAATCGCGATTTCTTATTTGCGGTTAATTTCTTTTGGCATTCTTTCTTTTACAAATTTGTGACAGAACTAAACCTACATTCCACTAAATATGATGATGGAAATGCAATTATACTTATTTTATTCCGTCTTCCTGCTTTTACAGTCCCTTTTTCAGTTGAATTTCCTCCAAATACATCTGAGGTTATTATTCTCCTTTGACAATTTGTGGCCTGATGGCCAATTGGCTAGCGGTCTGGCTGTTGGTACCACAAGCTTCAGGTTAAAATCCTGGCGGTGGCATGTATGTTTGTGAGTGGTTCGGAAGCCACGTTAAACTGTAGGCCCCGGTCTAATTAGCCTAAAGTGTGCACAAAATGACCGCAGAGCGACGATATATTTGTATTTTTCTACTATATGTATTTTCTAGTATATATTTGTATTTTTTTTTTTCTGTATAGGGGAAGCATGTCACCGAATGATTTCTTTATCTCGGAGTAGTTGCTCTAAGAACTACATTAAAAGATACTTTCGAGAACTCTGGCATGTATCGAACGGCGAGAAGGAAGGGGAATATTTTTTGACCGACGAACAAGTTCCTGCAATTCGTGCGACATTTCACTTAAGAGACGACCAAAAAATTGTACTCGATAAAATATATAAGCTGCATTTTGAAAACGAGACTGAAAATGCCGTGAGTGAATGATTATTTATTATTTTTGTATGAAGAGTTTTTATAATAAAATATTTGGAAAAGTATAGTTATCGTCTAAATTTTTTATGGGGGTCATTTTTTACTGCAGTCCTCGTTACCTCCAAAATGAAAGTTTATTTTTTTGTTTCTAATAGCAAGGCAATACAAAAAGTAGGAAAATATAGAACAAACAATATAAAAAAAAAATTTAAAGTCAAATCCTACTTTTTTTATCACTATATTGCAGAAAAGTCCTTTACAAATAACGTTGAAATTTTCCTCTTACATCTGGCGCCATCTATTATTAGATACATGCAACTTAAATCTAAAAAAAAAAACTAAAATTAATTAATTAAATTTAATTACTGAATTAATATTTGAAAAAACTGTATTAACATCCAGTGTCATCCACTACAAGTTCAAAAAAAAATTTATTTGAACTCGAGTGGATGAATAAAAAGTATTTTATGAAGGATTGGAAATTTGAGCAAGATATATATATAGGGAGAGTGGGAACTAATAGTCGGAATTGAAAAAACAATACACAAAAGAGTTCGAAAACGACCGAAGTCATTGCCTTAAGAGTTCTCTAGCTTGTATCTCGGAGTCGCCATGAAGTACCAAGCAACGATGGAGATGAGCTCGGTTCATTAGTTCTGCCAAATCAAAAAAAGAGGGCAGTTTGGTGGGTCGAAAATCGCAATGCGATGCATATGTTCACTAGATCAGTTCTTTTTGATTAAGACAAGTCACCAGTATTCCATTGCAATATACGCAGGCCAACCGGGCGATCACGCTGAAAACTGTAGACCACTTAGCCGTTTAAAACGTTGCCCACGGTGCACCACTAGGAG